CCTTCTTAGGAATAACATAATAAACATTAGAATCAAGTAAGAAGAGAGACATTAGCCGGAATTTGCCAAAATGGTGTCAAGACCTAATTCAACGGGGAGATTATTAATTTCTAATTGCGGTTTTGGTAGATTAAATAATATATACCGAAAAGAAGCCTTGACAAAGGACTTTTGTGGAGGCTTTTCCCAAAAGTTAGCAACTTGGCATTACAATAATATAGTTAATATATATATATATATATTGTTATAAAATGGTAAAGTGAAGTAAGAATAAGTAAAAATAGTTCGTCATCCTCACGATGCTTTGTTGGTATGATCTGGTACGTTATTTATCTTTTTAGCTACTCAAATTTTAATTTCTACATAAAAAAATAGTTTTTATATTTTGTGTAAATTGCCTCCAACCTTCTAATTCAAGAAATAAACTAACAAAAAATTTAGTTAAATTAATATTTATTAATTTAAAATTTTTAATTTAAAATTAAAATTTAAAATTTAAAACTATGCTTAAAAAAAAAAAATTAAACTCTTCGATGTAAAAAAGAAAGAGACAATTATGGGCCCAACTGATTTTACCCTCTCATGTGTGTTGTGGTGGGCCTTGGATCTACTCCTCCCAATCCCTCCATCAGGACCCGACACAACACAGCAGAATGGGCTGAGCCTGATTAAGACATCTCTGTCCTCCGAGTTTAATGGCAAAATCATTTCATAAGTCCTTAAACTTATCCCATTTTAGCATATATCTCCATGAAATAAAAACAAGCAATTAACACCTCCAACCGCGCAAATTGCAGTAAATTAATCCTTTGTTAACATATTAACTAAGGCCACAATTAAAAGGAACACTTGATCTTATTTTTGAACAGTGTACAATTTGGGGGATGGGGGAAGGGAGTTTTCAAGATGGTGGTAGAGCTCGAAACCCCAACCACCTCACCCAAGCACTTTAAAACTTGGGATCGAACCATTGGGTCTAAAAATCTGGTTCGGAACACTTGATCTTATTGGGTTCAAAAGTGCAAGTCTTTTATGGAGCGAGGTTGGTCTTGTGTGGTTCAACATGTGTTTTGAGAAAAAAAATTTTGTGCAAATGCAATGACGTCTTAGTTTTATCACCTAGGGGGGGGTTTACATTATTTTGAGGAGCCCCCTAATGGTGTTCGAGTATTTCTTGATGAAGAGAAATTAGGAGTTTGTAGACCACGTGCCACTAGATAACTCAATGCTATAAGCATTGCCCAATGTAC